CTCCTGCCCTCCCCCGAGCAGGATGTCAGCACAGACCCAGGTTGCTAAGCTGCGGCTCCTGCCGCTTCTGGCCTTGACCCTGACCCTGCAGACACTCCCTCCAAGGCTCCCCCAGCCCACACCGCTCTGTGCCCTTCCTCCGGCTTCTAACACGGCCCACCGCTTAGGGCTGGTACCTGTCCCTTGGCTGCGTCCGCACCCTCACCCGCCCCAGGAGAGCTCAGGAGGTCACAGGTGCACACCTGGGGGCAGGGCTGGTCCGTGGGAGGGTGGGCAGAGGAACAGCAGATGTGACCTTGGCCGACGGACAGGCAGGTGAAAGGACACCTTCCAGGCCCGTGAGCACAGGAGCGGAGACCGGGCAGGCGGTTGTCCAGAGTGGGGGCGGGCCTAGTCAGTGTGGCTCAGTGGATAGAGCGTCGGCCTGCGGACTGAAAGGTCCCAGGTTTGATTCCGGTCAAGGGCATGTGCCTGGGTTGCAGGCTCCATCCCCAGTGGGGAGTGTGCAGGAGGCAGCCCATCAATGATTCTTTCTCATCATTGATGTATCTCTCTCTCTCCCTCTCCCTTCCTCTCTGAAATTAATTATAAAAGAAGTGGGTCCGGGAGGGGAGGCGCTGAGTCACAGGGTTTGCAGGCCTTACATGCTGCCACGGGCTGCAGACTCGTGCCCTTGACCCTAGGCCGAGCGCTGTGCGGGGACACGCCACCCTGGGCCTCGGGCAGTGCTTGCTCCCGCAGGGTCCCCTCTCCCTGGCCCATCTGCAGGGGCCTGGCCCAGGGCTCGGAGGGGCTCCAGCTCTGGCCCCACCCTTCCTCGCCACAGCCCACCCATCCCGGGGGGGGGGCCAGGCCCCCACACTGCCTTCTCCCCAGCCCTGGGCACCCCCTGCCCCTCCCCCCGCCCTGAGGAGTGGCGGAGGCTCCTGAGTGCCTCCCCGGGCTGCTGGCCAGAGGCCTGTGGGAGGGACTGGGCACCAGGAGGTCAGGTGACTTCGCCACAGTCTCCCTGGACCCAGACCCAGGCTCGTACCCAGACCCAGGCTGGGCAGACTGTGCTCACCATCCGCGTGGCCTGCCAGTCTCACATTCCCCTTCCCCCTCCCTCTCGCAGCTTATTCCAGCTGCCCCTCCCGTCCCAGGCCTGCCACCCACACTCCCAGACCCGCAGAGCAGGGAGCAGGAGGAGGGTCCGAGGGAGCGGGCGAGAGGCAGACCTCGTTCCAGGTCCATTTGCCCAGCCCTCCTGCGTCTTCTCCCTGTCACCAGACCTGCGCCCGGCGGAGCCTAAGGCTCAGGGGCCAGGAGGCTCACACCAGCACCTCCAGCCCAGGCGCCTCCCTGGTGGCATCCATCACCCGCTTGGAACCGGGGGGGGGGGGGGGGTGGGGGGGCTGTGGCTGAGGCGCTGAGATGGTCCTGTTACCACCCTGCCCTCTGGGAGCTCCCCGTCCGCCAGGAGGTGGGCAGCCCCGAGAGAGCAGCCCCTGGAGGCACCGCACACCCATGAGCTCGGATCCCAGCCCCCGGGGAGCACCTGAGACGTGGACCTTAACCACACAGACGCGCACAGCCGTCCAGAGGCCTCCCCGCCGGCGCCCACAGCCCTGGGTGAACCATAAACAATGCGGCTCTGTCCGTAAACTTTATTTACGGACACGGAAATACGCCTACAGTGTAATTTTCACTTATTGTGAAATATTCTTCTCTTGATTTCCAGCACACCCCTCCCGCTTCAACCATTAAAAATAAATCTAAGAACCGCCCAGCGGGCGCGGCTCAGTGGTTGAGCATCGACCTATGAACCAGGAGGTCACTGATCGATTCCCGGTCAGGGCACAGGCCCGGGTTGTCGGCTCAGCTCCCCAGTGTGGGGCGTGCAGGAGGCAGCCGATCCATGATTCTCTGATCATTAATGTTTCTCTCTCTCTCTTCCTCTCCCTTCCTCTCCCTTCCTCTCTGAAATCAATAACAAAATATTTTTTAAAAATCTAAGAGCCATTCATAACTTGGGGGCCAGACCTGGGCCGGGCTTCGCCGTGGGCCGTGGTCCACAACCCTGCTGTTTGGCAAAGAGAATGAACCAGCATCAGCCACACCAGCCACTGATAGATCTTCAGAGTCTCAGCCCCGAATGAGAGAAGCCGCCACAGAGGGGTACCACCCTGAGCATCCGTGCCCAGGCGGGCAGGACCGTCGCGCAGGGACACGCAGCGAAGGGGCGGGTGGGGCCTGGGGGCACGGGGCTCTGAGGCACGCGTGTGCCCCTCCTTGCCCCTGTGGGCACACAGCCTTGGCTTGAAGGTGTGCTGTGCTTTTCTGTATGCGCGCCACATGTCACACTTTAAAGAGAAAGCAGCGGCCACAGGACTGACTGCAGCGCGTCTGAACCCTGCCTGGCGGGCGTTTGTAATCCGCCGGGAACGGCAGCCCCGCGGGATCCATCCCACCGCTCTGCCCAGCGCGGCTCCCGAAGGTCAAACCTCCAGTCAAGCCTCCCGGCTCTGCCTCTGGCCTCCCAGCCTTGATCCCTGCCGGGCCTGCCACCCACCCGCGCTCTCTCCTCCCCATCTCCCTCCCCCTCCTCCCGCCCCTCCTCCTGCACTCCCCAGCGGAGCGGGCTCTCTGCCAGCCGCCAAAGCTCTGTGTTGGGGTTAGTCGCAGGTGGAGGCCGGGGCTGTGAGAAGGAAGGCGGAGGCTCAAGGCGAGGGGAGAAAGGACCGGAGTCCAGAGCAAACAGAGGCCGGGGCACCCACACCGGGTACCTCCAGGAGAGTCCGTGTCCCCAGGCTGAGAGCGGGGGTTGTGCCCTGTTCCCTCCTGGTGCCCCCAGAGCCTAGAACGGGTCCTTCCCAATGGATATTGGAGAAATAACACCGCCCAGGGCCCGGGAACGGCCAGGACTGACCTTTGTTGGGGACACTGAGGCTCAGAGAGGTTAAGTGACTTGCCTGAGCTCACACAGCAGTGGGTGAAGGAAGGCAGGACTTGCCCCTGGCCCGCCTGGCCCCAAGGCCCTTGGGGGCGGCTGAGGCCTGTGTCCAGGCTCAGGAGAGCAGCGGCCCCTGAGACCACAGGCGCTGCCACAGAAAATGGAGCAGGAGAAGCTCAGAGATGCCAGCAGGGTGTGCTGGAGACCCCCAGGGGCCGTGGGCTCACCCGGGTGCCGAGCCTGTCACCTGATCACCTGAATCTTGGGTTTTGGTTGGCTCCGCTAGGCTGGTGGGCGCTGACTCTCTGAGCCCCAACCATGTGCCCTGACCACTTGCTCTCAGGATGTGCTAGCAGGCAGGCACTACTATCACCATTTACCAGATGGGGCAACTGAGGCACCGCAGCATTAAGAACCTGCCCCAGGTCCTAGGGTGAGTTGCAGAGCTGACTCAAACGCAGGCTGTTCGCCCCGGGTCCCCAGCCTCAACCCTGCCTCCCCTGGCTCCCCTGGCTCCCCTGACCACACTCCCCGGGCCCCCGAGTGAGGGGTGCGAGCAGGGTCTGCGGCGCTGACGGAGCTGCCTGCACAGGCTGCTGGCTGCCGTTTGGGGGGCTAGGGATGTGGGACAGGACTGCAGGGGCGGGGCCAGGAGAGCGGGGTGCTGCCTGCCCCCCCAGACGGCCTGGGAGACACAGGTGGTTTCCCCTCTTGTGAAAGAGCATTTCTCTTTTCCTGATTTACGGCAACACAAGGACCAAGATGTTACAAAACCACCTCACACCGCGGTCTCCTCCGCGCAGGCTCACGGCTGCGTCGGGGCCCTTTTGCGGGGGAGGGACCCACAAACAGAAACGATGGGAACTTGGGGAAATTACGCTAACAGTGACTACGTGTGAGTTCAAAGGCCGAGTCCCCACCACGCGGTTCCTCATCTGGTCTCTGCCCCGCCGGCTCCCGGGCCGGGAGCCTCAGCTGACCAGCCTGTCACAGGCCGGGCCTGCGGGATGGCAGGCACCACGCATTCCGCTCTCGCCTCCCGGGCGGTGAGAGGGGAGATTTTTTCTTTCCTTGAAGAAAGTTCTTTCTAAAGAAAGGCGAGTGGACCCCCGGAGCCCACTGCCTGGGGTCCTAGCTCGGGGCTCGGGCTGACCCAGCCCTGACCCTGACCTCTATTCACCCTCTAACCTCAGTCAAGTTCCCGGGCCTCCCGGCCCTGAGTCTCCGTTCCCGGCCCCAAGTGGTGCCGGGGGGACAGCACCCCAAGGGGCGCTGGGCTCAGAGGGCCGGCTCCGGTAATAACAGCTGCTCAGGCGGCGGGGACGGGGGCGGGGCGGGGGGGGGGCTCATGGAGGTCCGGGAGGAGGGGGAGAGCTGCACCTAGTGAGGGCGGCCCCGGTCAGCGCCGCCTGAGCACGAGGGACCCCAGTGTGGGCACATCCTAGGGGTTCCCTGGCCTGGACAGACTCACCCCAAGGCCACCCACCCGGGTCCTGCCTTGGACCCAGGCCACCGAGCTTCCAAGCGGGCCTGGGACCAGGAGGGACAGCGCTGGCCCAGGAGAGGCCTGGCTCCCAGGAGAGGCCTGGCTCCCGGGTGTTTCAGGAAGGGGTGGCGCCATCCTTCCTGGTGACAGTGACAGTTTTGAGCTCCAGATTACAGCCTCCCTCCCCTCCCCTTCCCTCCTCTCCCCTCCCCTCCCCTCCCCTCGCTGGCTGACAAGGCAACACCAACACTGAGGCGGCTCTGCCTCTGGGCAGGCTCAGTGTCCTGCTTCTTCCTTAGAGTCCCTGGGACCCTCGCCCCATGCCCGTGGCCGCTGGCACAGCAGTGCCACCCACCCTGCCTGAGGGCGGGAGGCCAGGCGGTGCCGGGAGGAGCTGTCAGCATGGAGGGCGGCGTTCCCGCCCCCGTCACGGCCTCAGCTAACATCCCGCCGCACGGCTTCCCTGTGAAGGCGCAGTGCTCAGAGGCCGCAGTCCCGGAGGCGGCAGTGTTGGCGGCGGCGCTGGGATGAAAGCGGCTCTGAAGTGCAGGCGGGGGGGGGGGGGGGGGGGGGGGACAGTACCTGTGAGCCGCAGGGTCCAGGGGCTCAGGAGCAGGCCCAGGAGCCAGGGGGCCGCGCGGGGGGCCCGCGGCCGAGGCCGGCTCTCCATGGGGCCTCCTGGCAGTGGCTGTCCTTCCGCTTTAGTTCCCAGACAGGACAGCCGCTGGCACCACAGTTCCCCTTCGTGTCCCCATCAAGCCCCTCCCTGGCCCTCTGCTTCCTCCAGGCTCACGTGGCCTGCTCCACTCCGTGACCCCACTTCCTGCCCCGGCCCTGGGAACAGCCCCCCCTCCCCGCCCCTGGCGCCGGGCGGGGCCGCAGGTGGGCTCCGGGCTCTCCTTAACCTGCCAGGCGGGGGCTGCTCCCTCCTGCCCCCTTCCCGGCTGGTGGCGGGTCCGGAAGACGCTGTCCCTGAGGGGACACAGATGCCCGTGGCAGCCCCAGGGCTTGGTTAACCACTCATGCCTCAATCTGCTTAGAGATGCCCGCGTCCCAAACCTTCCCCTGGCAGGAGCCCCGGAGCCCCCATAGCGATCTCATCAGAGAGCAGGGCTTTGGCGGTGGGGGGTCCCAGAAGGGGCAGGTGGTGATGGAGGAGGGACAGCAGTTGGAGAGGGGCAGGAGCCACCGTTCCCAGCCCCACACATGGGGCAGGTCATTAACCAGCAGGGCCACCCGTCCCCACAGAGGCCGGCGGATGCCCCTTTCAGCCCCCCCCCCCCCTGCAGCTCCCCTTCCCCCCGAGACACGGGAATGGCTTCCCGCCCAGACACAGCCCGCCTCAGCGCCAGCAGCACAGACAAGGGGCCTTTCCCCTGGGATCCCGAGCCCAGCCCCAGGCCGAGCTGGGGGGAGGGTGCCGGGGGGGGGGGGGGGGGGGACAGAGGGAAGGGTGGGAGGTGGGGAGGAGCCACGTGTTGGTGCTGGGAGGAAGCAGGGCCAAGGAGGCTGGGTCTCCCCACTGTCCGCACTTCACCTCTTTCTCCATTAACCGGATGCCAACGCAGAAAGGGGACACCGTGTCCCCGGAGGCCAGGGCAGGCGCTGCTGAGTGAAGCGGGAGCCTGCCCCCACTCCCACCGCAGCCCCACGGGGTCCAGTTCCCATGTTTTGAGCACACTCCCTCCCCCACACACGGCTGTGCGTGGGCGATGGAAGCTACAGGCTTTCCCACCAACGGGGTGGGGGGGTGGGGGGGGGGAGACGCCCACCGGGTGCGGAACCGATCCTGCCGGCGGGGGCCCTGGGGGCGGGGGCCCTGGGAGCGGGGGCCCTGGGGGATGGGGGGCCCTGGGGATGGGGGGACCCTGGGGGGCGGGGGGCCCTGGGGATGGGGGGCCCTGGGGATGGGGGGACCCTGGGGGGCGGGGGGCCCTGGGGGCGGGGGGCCCTGGGGGCGGGGGCCCTGGGGGCGGGGGCGGTATTGACTGCCGATCCATCACGCTGATGCAGCTGATGCACGGCGGAGGTGTCGCGGGGAGACCAGATCATCGGCTTCCCGCTGCGCCCAGCTCCGTGCGGAGCCGCCGTCTGCGCACCTCCTGCCGCGGTGAGAGCCGCGCTAACGCCCCGCTTTGGAAGGCTCCGTCTGCGCCTCCGGAGCCCCTTCAGGGCCTGGCATCAGGAGGTGGCCGCCTGCCGGCTGCCTCAGAACAGCGACAGGGGCGCCGGCTCTGATCCTGCCCCCGACACCCCTCCCACCCACCCCTCGCCCCTCACTCTGCAGCCCTGCAGCCTGGGCACTGCCGCCTGCCTGTGCCTCCTGTTTGGCTTCCTCACCTCTGCCCCCTCCCCCCCCTACCCCTACCCCCCCCCCACCCCCACCCACCCCCCGTGCAGAGCTCAGAGCCGCGCCTACTAGGTGCTCAGTAAACACGGCGGCTGTGTGGACGGGTGGTGAGTGGCGTCAGGGGATACAGGTCCCCCCCAGGCTGGCTGCGGAGGGGGGTGCCCAGCACCAAGCCTGGCACAGAGTGGGCTCCCACTGGCTTCAGGGGAGGGCAGACCTCTGTGTTCAGTTCAGTTCCCACATGCACTTATTAAGTACCTATTGCGTGCCAGCAGTGCAAGTGCAAAACATGTCACAGTGTTGCCCTCAGAGTGCTCCCTGTCTAGAGGGGAGAACAGACGCCTTAGGATTCTCACCTGCCCCTGGGGGGGGGGGGGGCGGGGAGCGGGAGAGCAGGAAAGCTGGGGGAGGCAGGCGAGCGGGAGGCCTGGCCTGGCTGCAATTTCGTTCCATTGCCCAGGAACTGCCCATCTTCTCTGGATTTCCCCCCAGAATGCACTGTGGGCAGCAGATGCACAGGAAGCAGAAGTGCCGGGAACGGGACCCCTCTCTTCCCTCCTCCGGCCTGGGAAGTCCCTTCCTTCCTCCTGGCAGACTCCAGCACCAGGAGGAGCCCCCCACGTGGAGGGGCCCTCACAGCAGCCCTAGTGCCTGAGACCCATAGCATCCCGCTCCTCCGGTCCCGGGGTCCCCCTGTCCCGGGCCCCCCTCCATCCTCTCCCTCACGCCCCCTGCACGGAGAGGGCTGGTGGAGGGCAGTCCCCCCTCCTAGCAACAGGCAGGCTTGTTCGGGACCCCCTCCTGCACCAGGTAGCAACGGCAGAAACCCCAGGGGGTAGGTGTGACTGTCCTGATTTTACAGATAAAGAAGCGGAAGTTCAGAGAGTGGAAGCCACCTGCCCGAAGCCACACAGCGAGGAGGCAGCGGGGCAAGGACTTGGGCTCCCGCCACAGCCCTTTCACCAGCCTGGTCCCTGCAGTCCACGCGACCCCTCCCCCAGGGCTGGGCTTGCCGCCTTCCTCCTGCCGCCCAGGGGCAGGGAGACGGCCGGTGAGTGGCCCGCTTGGGTCCCGGTGGGGACCATTGGCCACACCCCCGGGGTTAGGCTTTCTTGCTAACGGGTTTGGGGAGCAGTAAGGCCCAGTGCACCCTCCCCAGCCTCTGCCTCACCAAGAACAATCCTGACATCTGACAGCACTCACATGGACTCCATGTTCCCCGCGCCATGGATCAGGTCCTTGTACGGCGGTGTACTGAGGCAAGCACCGGCCAGGAGGCCAGTCCCGGGTGGGGGTGAGGCAGGCGCCCAAATCCAGAAGGTCCTATGGGAATGGTGCCCCTTCCCCTCCCCTGGTTGTCCTGTGTCAATGGCGCCACCTGGTGGCCAGCGGGAGAGCCCTCGCCTGCAATGTCTCCCTCTCCATGTCGCTGCTTCTCCCTCCAGGGCCTCGGGCTGCCCAGCGAGGCCAGGTCAGGGCTGCAGAGGCAGCGCGCCAGCGTGGCGGAGGGGGCAGGGCCGGCAGGGCCAGGGCGCCTGGGGCTGTGGGAGCCGAGGGCCTGCCAAGGACCACAGAGCCGCCTTCAGGGCCCCCACGCGGGGCCAGAGCGGTGGGGGCAGGAGCAGGCCATGGACGCCTCCTGCGGATCCTCACCGGGGAGCGGGCTCCGGCCACCAGGCCGCCAGCCCCGCGCCGCGCAGTGACCACCGTCTGGGTTCTACGGGGCAGAGGCCTCAGGGCATGCGGGCAGAGGGGTACGTGTGGCAGCCACTCAGGACCCGGTTCCTGGCCGTGCCCCCGAGATCTGACTCCGGCAGACTCTGGGACGCTGGCTCTCTCTTTGAGAAACTCACCTCCCGGGGCAGGTTCCCGAGGGGCTGTGGGCAGGGGTGGAGGTCTGGGGCCGAGCTTCAAAGAGATTTGGGTCCCCTCCTGCCCGCCTTGGGGGGCCAGCGAGGGGTTCCGGGCCCTAGAGCCAGGCCGCTCAGGGTGCACCTCCTCCCCACGCCCGTGGGGGCCGTTCCTCACCTCCCACGTGGAAGAGGTGAGCACGAATCCTCCCGATGATGATGTCCCCCCGCCCCCGCCCCAGGTGAAAGCGTTTGGAAGAGAGAGCTGAGAGCTATTCTGCCCCAAACGTTCCTGAGTCTCCGTAGGCTTCTTTCCGGGGGGAGGAGGGGGCTTTGCAGAGAATAACAAGGATCCGCGGAGGGCGGAGGGCGGAGGGCCCTGGGTCTGGGAGGGGGGCAGGGGACAGGGTGGGAGCGGGGCTGCGAGGAGGGGCAGGAGAGGGAGGAGCCCAGCCCACGTGGAGCCCGGTTTGGAGCTGGGTGCTGTCAGGGCTCCAGACAGCAAAGGACCAGGCTCGCACCTCTCTCTGCGGGCGTCCAGAGGTTCCCCCCGGAGACCGCAAGGAGCTGTGGCTCACTTGCTGCTTCATTCAGCAAAGCTCTCTGGGTGCTTGGGGCCTGGCCCTGCCCGGGCCCCCTCCGAGAGCAGAGCTTGGCACCGCAGATCATGGCCACAGCCAGGGAGCCAGCAGGGAGGGGACCCGGCCCAGAGCAGGCTTCCCACCCTGGGAGCCAGGCCAGGGCATCCCGAAGGCTCGGTGAGAAGCTTCCAGAAATAGACGAGGGAGGGCAGGAGGAGGGGCTGGGTCCGGGTCCAGGCCGAGCAGCTGAGGGGAGCCGGCCGGGAGGGCCTCGCCCATCCTCGATGAAGCCACCTGCTCTCCCGTGTGCAGCCAGGGGAATAAAAGCATTGACTTTCTGTTGGAAATGACTGGCACTGCGATCAGTGTGGTTTCTGCCGGTTTCACCCGCAGGCAGACCGCCGGGCGCCCTGAGCAGGCAGCTTGGGCCAGCCTGGACCTGGCGTCGCGGACAAGGTGTCTGAGCCGAGAGACTTACCGCCCGCCCTGCGCCCTCCCATCCCTCCTGTTCTTGTCCCACGGGCCCCGGAGGCTCCGGAGCTGGCAGAGAAGCCTCTGAGCTGCGGACCAGTCTCGGCCCGGAGTCTGCACCCAGGCCTCCCCCGCTTCCTGAGCTGGTCCCTTTCCTCCCGGGATGAGGACAGAGTGTGTGCGGCTGCCCTCCCCATCTCCGGGGCAAGACGTCCCTGGCCCTGTTCACTCCCCGACCTGCTGCCCCGCGCATCACCGGCCGAGACTGTCCGTGGCCACTTCCATCTGGAGCCCGGGGAGGACGCTGGCCTCAGGGAGGACGGACGCTGGCCTCAGGGAGGACGCTGGCCTCAGGGAGGACGCTGGCCTCAGGGAGGAGGCTGGCGCTCAGGGAGGAGGCTGGCCTCAGGGAGGACGC